TTGTTAAAAAATCCATAATTTAAGATGACAAAAAAATATATAACTCAATAATCTTATAGTATTATTTATATCAGTATTATTGTAGTATTCTATTATACTTAATATGCGTAACATAATTTTTGATATGAAGTTATAATTCGTTTTGTTATGTATAGAATGAAATTTAAATGTAGGTAAAATAAAAATATTACATAGCGTTATAAAGAAATATATTTTACAAGTACAATCATACATTGATATATTTTGTTAAAAAAACTTCAAGTAATCATGTGTGATATAATACTTGATCTTCGTTGTCAGTTGAAGAAAATTACAGTATTTTCATGAAAATAAACTGACGTTCAATCGATCGCACAGCTAAATCTCTGAGAGAATTTCGTTAATAGTAATTGCAGGATGGTTAATGCGACGATATCGTTGCCATTTAAAAGCCATTACCTTACTCCATGGATATGCAAATGTACCTATGTATATGTTTAGTTGCATTATATGTAGTAAAAGGTGAGAGATATTGCATGGAAGGTATATGCATCATTTCGATTTTTTTTTTATATATTTCTTACTTCTTTATTTCAATATAAATGTTAAAAGAAAGAAATAAAAAAATTGTTCACTAGTTAATTAAACATAGTAGCCGATATCGTTACGCATTGTGTTTATTTACATAATATTGATTCAATTAAGAAAACGTAATTTGCTAATTAATTTGATAATTAGATTTCAAATCTATTGTTTGTTGAAATTAAAATAAGAGAGAGAGAAAATATGATAAAAGTGAATAGCTTTCTGAATTAAGAACTTAAATAAATTTCTCTCTTATTCAGCATGAAAAGCAGCAAGATATAGAAAAATTTTCGTATAGGATAATAAACATACTTACTTAGAAAGAACTTTGATTCGCTTGTTTATCAATTAAGAAACTTTCGTGATGAAACAGAGACGATACATGGTCATCATTTTTCTCACATTTGCACAATTTACAGAATAAAATATAACATCAAAAAATTCATGATTAATTATAATTAATATCTTAACTTCTCATTATAATTTTGTTTAATAATTTTCTAAGACAATTTGAAAATTGTTAGAGTTTCGAACGAATAGTTTAGATGAGATCATTAGTAAGGAACACTGTTGGTAATGTCAACAACAGTGATAGCATCAGTAATATCAGCAACACTGGTAACAGCAATATTAGTAGATGCACTAGTATTCACAACATCGGTGTGTAACAGTTACAGCAGGACAGTGGACGATATTAGTTCACAGTAGAAACATCAGAGATATTAACAGCAGTAGCAGTAACAGCAGCAGGAGCAAAGTAGAAGTAGAATGTCATCCCTAATTTGGCGAACGTTGTGACTTCGTGTTTGACATAATTGGCAAGGAAATATATTCCGAGTGTTGACGTCACTGCCCGAGAAGTTGTTTATACTCAACTACCACGACTCATTTTTTACTATGTTTAACGACAAAGAAAAAAAAACAAAAAA